ATGCAGAATTAAATGCACCATTATGTCAAAAAGTGATGGTGGGAAATACATCTCAAATTTGCACAAAGTTACCACAACATTTTCCTGGAGAGCGTCAAGTGTAAAGGGATCAAGAACTTTGCTGCAAATAGTATTGAAAAACCCACAGAGGCTTGTAATAACTTCTCTCACTTGCTTTGGTAAAAGACCACAAATTGCAATCAGTAGGAATACTTGCATCATCATGTGACAATCATGGGATTTCATACTTGTCAACTTCAATTCTCCATTTAAGAAAACAAACCTTTTCATGTTTGACGAGAACCCAAATGGAAGCTTAATGTCATAAAAACAAGCACAAAACCTTTGTTTCTCTTCCTTTGATAATGTGTAGCAAGCTGGAGGTAAATACACCTTTTGGTTCTTGTCTTTTCCGTCACCTTTCTTCTTTGTGATACCCGTGGCCTTTTCCTTGTACTTCTCCTTACGGTTTTGTCCACCATCTTTGGTTCCCTTTTCCCTTACCTTCGCCTTCCCTACCTTTGCTTGAACCCACAATTCCGGACGAACACCCCATGCTTGCAAATCTAATCGCGCACTCTTTCCATCCTTCGTTTTTCCAGGAATGTTCATAATTATCCCAATAATTGCATCACAAACATTCTTTTCTATATGCATCATATCGAGAAAATGTCTAACATCATGTTCTTTTCAATACTCAAGCTTGCAAAAGATTGATTCCATTTTAAAGAGAGCATGTGGGTCAATTGGTTTTGTTGTTTTACCAAAAACACATGGTATACCCTTCACTCTAGCATAAACCTCCTTTCCACTCAATGGCCTAGGCGCAACCCCCTCCTTAACTTTCCCATTAAAGGCCTTTTTCTGCTTACGATACGAGTGATCGCGCCTAAGAAATTTTCGGGTCCTCACGTACACATTTTTTCCATAGTGATCAAGGTACACGTTCGGTGTGTCATCAATACAAATGGGACATGCTTTATGTCCTTTGTTCTTGTACCCGAACAGGTTGCCATATGCAGGAAAATCATTGATGGTCCACATAAGGGCAGCACGCAATAGAAACATCTCGTTCTTATGGGCATCATAAAGGGTAACACCTTCGTCCCACATCTTTCTCAAATCATCAATAAGGGGCTTAAGGTAAACATCAATGTCGTTTCTAGGTTGCCTTGGCCCCATTATCAAAAGCGAAAGCATTATGTATTTCTGTTTCATACACAACCACGGAGGCAAGTTGTAAATCACTGAAAGTATCGGCTATGTGCTATGTTTGGTACTAAGAGTGCCAAACGGATTCATACCGTCCCTGCACAACCCAAGCCTTTAATTTCTAACTTCACCACCAAATGCCCTAAACTTCATATCGATGTTCTTCCATTGTGGAGAGTCAGCAGGATGCTTCAAAAAACCATTTTTCTTTCTTCCCTCAGCACGGCATCTCAAGTTCTTAGCATATTTTGGTATTGAAAATAGACGCTTTAACCTTGGAATAATAGGAAGATACCATAACACCTTGGCAGGAGGTCCTTTCATACCAGTATTGCAGCTTGATCGCTTGTAACACGACTTACCGCAACGTGGACACTCCTCTAACTCTTCATATTCATTTCGATACAGAACACAGTCATTAGGACATGCATGTATCTTCTTATACTCCAAACCGAATGGACACACGGGTTTCTTTACATAATAGTAGGAATTAGGAAGTTCATTCCCATATGGAAACATATCACATAACGCAATCAACAATGAAGTGAAACTAGTGTCACTCCAATTATACATAGACTTAATGTTAAAAAGTGTAAGCACGACTGAGTGATTTGTGTAATTTTTGGACCCAAGATACAAAGGCTTTTTGGCAGTCTCTTATAATGACTCAAATACATCAGATCGGTCACCAAATTCACCTTCAACATCACGCATCATCTCATCCAAGTGATCACTACCACCATCCTCGGTCTCATCCCCATCACCACCATCATCACTCCCATTTTCTTCTTCAACATGAATCTCAGCACTTTCAACATGCGTCTCATTGCCAACAACATTCTCTCTATACGATCCCTTTTCACCATGCCAAACCCAAACATTATATTGAGGCCTAAACCCATGACATTGTACATGAGCTATGGTGGTATCAACACCATCGACCCTTGTGACATTATTACAATTGACACAAGGACAATAAAGGTAATTGACACCTATTCTGAGCTGATACTGTGAAGCACTCTTGCAAAAATCTTGAACCCCATTAAAAAATTCTAATGTATCACGTCTACCATACATCCAACCGCGAGCCATTGACGTTTTAAATTTCCTTTAAACATACCAACACCTTTCAAACAATGTATAAATGTAACATATATTATGTCAATCAAAGTACATAGCATATATATCATCCATATCGTATAAAAATGAATGCTCCCAAAAGGTCCTTATCATTCCAACCTAACCCATCCTTGAACGTCTAATCTCACTAGTGAATGTATGTCAACTTTTCAATTTTAAGGAAAATGATAGCATTTCCCCCCAGTTCTCCAAGTACACAATGTAGGTAATAACTTACCTACATATGTACACAGAGAACATGGTGAGAAAATGATAAGCCAAGATATTCCTTAAAATCAAAAAAGAGACATACATTCACTACCTAAGTAAGATTAAACGTCCAAGAACAGTCCCAACCGGGGACTATTCAAGACTTTCTCCTATTGAGAAAGACTCGAACGGGTATCTAGACAAATGATGATGCAAGCATTCAATAATTTACATTTATTTTACATTCAACAATAAACAAGTTCATTCATTTATATACTTCTAATAATTAAATTAAGCTACCTACAATCAAACTAAGGTTACTTATATATATAGCATCCATTATATTCATACATTGAAATTTACTACCCACATTTAACAAACTAAAATGTTAACTGTTCCAGGTATGGATCAAAGGGTTCTGCTGGGTGAGCTGGGTCCCGTCAATAACTTACACAAGGCAGCACAAGTAAACTGCCCTCGGGGGTGGCTCAAGGAACCCCCCTCCGAAGCTTAAGCTAGAGAGTGTTTAGAGAGAGAAAGTGTACTTAGAGAGATATAGAGAGTATAATAACTTTAGTGTCTCACCTCCTTTCCGTTGTACTTTACCCTCTATTTATAGGCGTACCATCTCCTTCATAGAAAGTTCAGCCTGGTCAGCTCTGCGGGCTGACTCCACCGGGCTAATGAGCCTTCCTTAATTTCCTTCTCAGTAGTGAGTGCGCACCCTAGGGGCTGGGCGATAGTTTAGCGGGAGCTATCCTATACAACTAGCCCCTCAAGAGGTGGTATGAGGTCACTCATGTCGACTCTTTATATGCAGGTACCGTCTTCTTAACTTAGCACAGCTCGAAGGAATAGCTCAGCAGGAGCTATCCCTACAACTAGCCCCTCAAGAGATGGCGTGAGGTTTGTTCATGCCAGCTGTTCTGAGCGTGTAGCCTTACCGGCCGTGGCTCAACAGGTCGTCCAGCTGAATTAACCTGTATACTCCTAGACCCACAAATCTCTAGGGTGTTGATGCGGCCTGGACACTTGGGAGGTCAATTTCTGATCTTGGTAGTTGTGTTGTCGCACTATCTGTATGTCAAATATAACTCTGTTTCTAAGAAATGACAAGCTCGCGGAGAGGAATTTCGATCACTCCCGCTGAAGTTTGAGAAATGACGAGCATGCAGAGAGGAATTTCGATCACTCCCGCTGAAGTTTGAAAAATGACGAGCATGCAGAGAGGAATTTCGATCACTCCCGCTGAAGTTTGAGAAATGACGAGCATGCAGAGAGGAATTTCAATCACTCCCGCTGAAGTTATGAGAAATGACGAGCTTGCGGAGAGGATTTTCGATCACTCTCGCTGAAGTACTTTTTTTTAGGGCGGGAACCGTTTTTGCATGAATGGGACACGTGTTGACGATCCAGGCCGTCAGTTTGATTTTACTGAATTGACATGGCGGTTTGGTTTTGCCTTGTGTCTAACCGCCCATATATTCCGTATTAATATCACTGTCCCCCTTTTTCACTTATTTTCTTTACTCCTTTTACCTTTCACCTTCCCTTCTTCATTACTCTTGTCATTTCAAAATTTTCGCTCTTTGTCCTTTCTCTTCCAAACGCTCGTGTTCCTCCATTGTTGCAGTAAGTTCTTGCTTCCTCGTCTTTGTTTTTTCCTTAGTTTCTACTTTATTTGTTTTTCCCTCCTTAATTCTTGTCTCTTATTGACTTGTTCTTCTCAATTGTAGATTTGAACTTTCGTCTCGCTCGGGCTTTTGTGTTTGCCATTGTTGTTATACTCTGTTGCTTCTGCAACTTTTTCTCTTAAAGGTACTTACTTTGTGCCTTTTGTTGTTTGTATTTACCCAATTTCGCTCCTTTTTTCTTTTCCTTCACAAGATTTTGTCTTTTGATTCTTCCCAACTGTCATTGTTAAATTTCTTCTCTTTGTTGTTGTTGTAATTGCATTCTTGATTTTTTCTCCTTATTCCTTCGTTGTTCTTGTTTCCTAAACTGATCTTTTGATTTTTGGTGCCCTATTGCCTTTTCTTCTCTTTGTGGTCTTGTATTTCTTTGTAAATTTCAAAATGTCTGACGCTTCTGATAGTCAAAACATGAGTGAGCCTCAAACGACCACTAGATCGGATTCTCCTTCCCGATCCTCTCTTTCAGGTGAGCGTCACGCGCACACTTCCCCTGTTTCTCCTTCTTCTTCTCCTATTCCTGTACAAACAGTTATGCCTTCTGACTTTCCCCCCGCTGCGAGCGGGGTGGGTACTGCTGTGACTCCTGCTGCTGCGTTTGGGTCAGGCAGTAGTCATCCCGCTGAGGGTAGTGCTTTTCGCCCTTTCCAGCGCGAACCCCGTCCTGATTTCTTTGATCCTTATTGCGAGCGGGTGCTCATGATGGATGGGATTCCTTTATCCCATCTCACTTGTTTGAGGATGTGTGCAATTAGGGGTGTTAAAAAATACCCGACCCGACTGACCCGTCCCGCTGTCCCGATGACCCGACTTGATTTAGTCAAGTATTTTTTTTTCATTTTTCCGAAATTCACGGGTCGGGTACCCGACCCAAGAAAATAGCATATTTTTGGGTCGGGTCATGGGTCGGCTTATGAGAAAAGCGGGTACCCGCTGACCCGAATATATATACTGTATTTTTTTTCAGCAGCTCTTTTCTAGTTTTAGGGTTTATATTATTTTCACTTTTATTCTCTTTCCTCCTACAATACAACCGCCACTTTCCTCCTTTTTCTTTAGTTCTCAATTTCTCACAACTCTATTATCTCTCCTTCATCTTATTCTTAGATTAAAGAGTTATTATCTCAAAACTCTTTAATTTCACCTGCTTCTCACAAATCAATTACTTGCTTAATTACTTGATTGCCAGCAAGATGTCATACGAAAAAGTCCTAAACTAAGAAGGAAATTAATTGCTTTATCTCTGTTATAGTGTTATCTATATATAGATCAAGGCATCAGCGGTGAGCATTAAATTGTAATGAATTCGTGAGGGTATACACGACGCATGCAGTGGTGGTGCTTCCAAGTGCGACTGTGTTTTCAGAATTCAAATCTCCTGCTTTGGTTATATCAGTTTTGTTTTTGTTTTGTTTTTATATAATTATAACTGTATGTTTTTTATGTGTGAAACATGTTTGGGATTTTTGGTTCCTAAATTAAAGAATATACGAAGTATTTGATTTTTTTGGGGGAATCTTGTTGTTGATTACTCAAATAGTCGAATGAGCTTGTTATGAATTTTGAGTATTTGAGTATAATTTTCTTTACAATTAGTTGTCAAATTCAATTTATGTTTGATTGAGTAATAGATCTAATAATTGGAGTAATTATAGAAAACTTTTTCTTTACAATTTCATTTACGGCTTTTTATGACTATAATCTTAATCCTCAAAGAGAAAAGTGAGTTCGTTTTCAATTTTAAAATCGGGTACCCATTGACCCGATCCGAGAAAATCGGGTACCCGAAACCCGAGTACCTGATTTTCTCGGGTCGGGACATGGGACGAGTTTCCAACTACCCGAAGATTCGGGTACCCAGATGTTCGGGTACCCGGATTTGAACACCCCTACGCGCAATGCGCCATAAAATGTTAGCTGACGCTGTCAAGGCTAATCCCCCTGACGTGTCTCTTGTTAGCCCTATTCCCCATGTTCATCCTTTAAACAGTTTTTCTTGGCTTGATAACATGGCTGACGTGCATCGGTTTGACCATTGTGTAGTGCGAGGTGGCAGCACTAAGACTCCATCACGGTCTCCTTCTTCAGCTGTTCAATCGGGCAGGATGACTGAGTCTCCTAGTAACCGCTCCTATTATGATTGTCATCCCACTTACGTTGTGGAGCCCGTAGAGGAGGGCATAATCGAGTTTTTTCTTGATGACAAATGTTATGGGCCTAAAAATTGTGTGCAGGATGCTAAGAGGCTGAACCTGGCTGTTGTTGGGCAGAAATTCTATGGTTTTGGGGAGGGTTACGAGCTGGTTCTCCCTGGTGATGGTGCAAAGCTATCAGCTCCTCCTGCTGGTCATATTACTGTGTTCGCTTCACAGCTGGATTTGGGCTTGAGGTTCCCTCTGGACCCCACCCTGGAGAAGTTGTTACGTGCCTTCAATATCTGCATATCTCTGGTGCATCCTACTTCCCTTCATACTTTGATCTGTTTGCTATGGTTTTTGAGGTTTTGAAGGTATCTTGAGTCCCTGCATCTGTTCAAGTCTTTGATGAGCTTGAAGAGATCTGCTTCTGGGACTGAGTCAGGTTGGTATTATGTTGCTCCTAAGGAGAGCAGGGTCTTGTCCTACCCAAAACTTGGCCGTTTCAGGGACTGGACTGCAAATTTTTCTGGGTGAAGGTGCCTTATAATTTTGCTGCACCGCGCAACTTTAGAGTGATCCACACTAACATGGCTGGAGTTGCCGTCTCCCCTTCTGAGCCTGCCTGTGAGGCAGAGGCTTTTGAGGCTCTACAGGGAGCGGGGACTGTTGACTCTAAGTTCCCCAAGATCAGGTTGCCCAACTCCATATAAATTGTGGGCAACGAGCAGCTCTCTGCTATGCGTTTGTGCCATACGCATGAGTCTGGTAAGTTTTCAACATTCTGTCCTTTCTTTTCCTTCCCTTTTTTTTTTATTTTGTCTCTTTGCCTTATTTGGTTTTTCTGCCCATCTCTCTTTTAGGCTACAACAAGTTGGACAAACGCATGCTTGGGCTAGCTGATAATTGGAAGGACCCTTTGACTGCTACTCCTAAAAATCCCCCTCAGCTCTTTGACATGCTGGAGGTGTTTGCGGGCTCTCTGAAGGGTGAAGTGCGTCTGGCTCCTGCTGAGCTGCGGGCTGTTGTTGGCACTACAACTACTGCTGAGCGTGCTGGGTCCAGCTGCGTTGAAGCTGAGCCTTCATCCTCTACTGTTGGGAGTAGGCGTGAGACACGGCCTGCCCCTCAAAGGGCGGCTTCAGAATTTGAGGCGTTAGTGGCGCCTGATGCTTCTCTTGAGAAGCAGTCTATCGCGGCTTCCAGCCGGGTGGCACCTTAGATTTCTGCTGCCAAAAGACAATGTGATCAAGCTTCTGATGATCCAAAAACTACTGCTGTGATTTTGCTGATAGTGTTCTCCAGTTTCCCCCTGAGGGGGCTAAGACCACTACTGTGGGTGAAAAACCCATTTCTTCTGCTGAGCATGTTCTGCTCTTTCCTTCTACTGTTGATGATGCCACTGCTGCGAAGGATATTTATGTCCCTTCTGTTACAGCTACTAACTTCAAGCTCTCTGACGAGACTATCATGGAGCTTTCCAGATTTTCGCCACGTCCCTCCAAGTTGAGGAGGCGGCTTCAAAGCGCTTCAAGAGGTGGGTTCTCCCGGGTAGGGGGTTCTCACTAGCAGGATCGTCCAGTTATTGACTTGGAAGATGATCCAATGTCCCCTGCCCCTGCTAGAGATGAGCCTGAAGCGAAAAAGGCTCGCACCTCTCCTGGTCCTGATCCTCTTGCATCTACATCTGCCAACACTGGGCTTCCAGGTTGGAATGGTGATAGGGGATGGACACTTAGAATTCCAGTGAACTTAACCGTTGTGTTCACCAATTCTTGAGTGATGCTTTTGAGAACCCTCTGTCTGCTACCTCAATTTCTGCTGGAGGAACTTTCCGCCCTACTGGGCTAATGAGTTTTCTGAGGTTCCCATTGATGTCCATCTTCTCCCTATACTCTGTCCAGCTGGAGCTGAGAATGCTCCCTTTCGGCCCCTGATGAATGTGAGGGCTGACGAGTCTTTGTTTGTGGACAACCCTCAAAAGGGTGGTACTTTGAGGTACCGTTTGACTCAAGGAGTTCGTTTGCCCGCTTACTCTACGCACGACTCTGTTAGTCTTCCCGCTGCTACGGCTTATCATAACTTGCAGAAGGTTAGTTTCTGCTTCTGCCTTTTCTTCTTTTTTTTATCTCCTCGTTACTGCCTTGTTTTATAATGCTTTTGGCTTATTTCTACCTTGGTTTACTCCTTTCCTTTTTTGTCTTTTGTGCAGCTTGTCAGGTCTGTTGGAGATTTATCCAATGCCTTGCTGTTAGTGGAGAAGGAGTATCAGAATCAAGGCATTATTCTTTCTAAGAAGAATTTGGAGGTCTAGCAGGCTCAGGCTGAGAGGAATGCTATGGCCAATAAGGTGACTCCTCTGAGGGAGAGGGCGGACGCCCTACAGCTCTAGTTGGGAGAATTTCAGCTCACTCAGACCAAGTTGAAGAGCTGCGAGGAGTAGTTGGGGACCTCTCAGGCCAGGGTGCAGATGCTGGAGGCAGAGATTGCAAATCTACAAGCTGGACACATAACCGAACTGGAAGCTGCTAGGAAAGAGGCACTCAAATCTTTTGCGCTCTCCCCTGTTTTTTCTAAGCTATTGGCTGATCGCCGTGATGGTGGATGGGAGGTTGCGGCTCGGTGCGTTAGCAGCTAGTATGGTGAAGGTGAGGAGAAGCAGGCTCGTTTCAACGCTTTCTGGGCTAAGGTTGAGACTGCAGGCGAGGCTGGTTTGTTTGATCTCCCTGATGATCACCCCCGTGCTGCCGGCTGCAAGATTCCCAACCAAGCTGTGTTGAACTTGGAAGTTCTTCTCTACCCTGACGTTGCTGCGGCTATTGGAGTGGAGTCCTTGGCTGATGATCAATAAAGGTTATGGCGGCTGTCACCTTCTTACTCTAGTGGTTCCTCTGAGTTTCCCTTACCCAGGATCTATTATAACTTGGTAATTTTTGTTACTATCTTTGGGGTGTATAGTCACCAAAGATTATGTTTCCTTGTGTCTTCTTAGAATACTTTGTTTTTCATTGTTGGGTCTGCCTAGCTTAACTTGAATTTGTGTTTTCTTGACCTTACTTGCTCAGTGTTTCCTTGTCTTGGTGGGCGAGGGCTCAGCTTTGTCTATATTGTAACTGACCTGCTGAATGTTTACTCTGCCCTGGTGGGCAGGGGTTCAGCTTTATATTGTATGCACTTTGTGATCTTCCTCTGTTGTTTCGCCTGCTATATATTTCGTTACCTGCAATAGCAGTATCTAGATCTTTTAGCATATCAGCTTTTTTATTACATTTGGTGAAGTCTCGTAGGTTGGGCCTCCCTGTCTTCTTAATTTGGCTGCTGAGTGATTTTTGCTTCTTTGTCCTCTGTTGTGCTTTGCCAGGAACTTTAGTGAACTTTATTCTTCTTGTTCAATCTATTTTAAGTGCTTATGCATTGTGCACTCTATTTATTTCCGATAGAGGTTTGCCTGCACGCTGGTTAATTTATTCGATTGCTGTCTGTCTGGGCGTTATTCCGCTTTTTGTGCTGAGACTTATTTGTGTCAATCAGCTTTCTAATTGCTCGTCTTATGTCACTCAGCTTATTTTGCTGCAATTTATTTTATGTCGTTCAGCTTGATTATGCTGCGACTTATTTTATGTCGTTCAGCTTGTTTCTGCTGTGACTTGTTTTATGTCGTTCAGCTTGTTTATGCTGCGACTTGTTTTATGTCGTTCAGCTTGTTTGTGTTGTGACTTGTTTTATGTCGTTCATCTTGTTTATGCTGCGACTTGTTTTATGTCGTTCAGCTTGTTTATGCCACGACTTGTTGTTTTGTGCCACTTATTTCTCTTCGTAAGGGCTTATTGTATGTCTATCTCCCCCTTTCCTCTCCCCCTCAAAGAGAGGAGCTAGGTGGGACTAAGAGAAACTTAGTGTTGCCCACGTAGCTCATCTTCCTCGTTTCCCTTTATCTCTCCTACTTAAGTTGAACGTGCTAAGCCTCCCCCTCAGGCGTCCCTGAGGTGGTGCCCTGTTTTACTTTGAGCAGGTGAGATGAGGTCTCAGGGAGGGATGCGTTAATTTTCCCCTTTGCGCTGGGGTGTTGTTTGCCTCTAACACTTGCGCGTGTTATTTTTTTATTTTTTTTATTATTTTTTTTTTACTTCTGCACGTTAGTATATGATGCTAAAGCATGATATATTAAAACAAGTGTACGCAACATACTCCTCACGTAGAGGCTTGTAATTCATTGAATAAAAATGGCTCAAATGCCTTAATTGATATAACATGAACTAGATATAGTTTTTGCAGAATTGAAACAACTATCCTTGTTTCTTCTTAAATTCATGCTTCTTAAGCAAAATATTTCTAAAACACATCAGCATTAAAACTGTTTCTTAAGACCTGACCTTCTTGATCTGCGAGGAGGAATGTACCTGGTCCTACCTGCTCGTGGATGAAAGGGCCTTCCCAGTTTGCTGACAGTTTTCCATGTTGATTTCCTCTTCCCACTGCTGCTGTCCTTCTGAGGAATAAATCTCCGGGCAGAAGCTCTCTGTGCTTGACTCTCTTTTTGAAAGCTTTGGAAATCCTGCTCTTTTTGGCTGCCAGCTTGAGAGCTACTCTTAGCCTTACTTCTGGCAGGAAGTCTAGCTCTTCCTGCATGCGCTTTTCGCTTCCTTGTTGTTCATAATGTTGTATTCTCAGGCTGGAAATTTGCACTTCCACTGGGACGACTACATCAGCCCCGTATGCTAAGGTGAAAAGGCTTTTACCAGTGGACTCCTTTTCTATGGCTCTATTCGCCCATAAGACCTCTGGGACTAAGTCTGCCCACAGGCCCTTGTATTCTTCCAGTTTTCTCTGCAGGGCCGTTAAGATCAGCTTGTTTGCTGCTTCTGCCTGGCCATTACTCTAGGGGTGGCAGCCTGAGGCGCTTGCGTATTTGGTGCCCATGTCTTCCAGGTAATCCTTAATCGTGTCACAGTCAAATTGGCACCCTTGGTCAAAGACTATGCACTGTGGCACCCCGAACCTTGTGATGATGTTTTTCCATATAAACGTCCTCACTTGGGTTGCCTTTATGTACTTTGTCGGCTCAGCTTCTATCCACTTAGTAAAATAATCTACCGCCACTATGAGGTACTTTCTTCCTGCTGACCTAGTGGTGAATGGTCCCAATATGTCCATTCCCCACTGAGAAAACGGGATCGAGCTGAGGATTAGGGTCATATCATTTGCTGGCTGGTTTATGACTGGGGAGTACTTTTAGCACTTGTCGCAATTTTTCACATATGCCAGCGCGTCTTGAACTAGGGTCGGCCAATATGCACCCCTTCTTAGGACTTCCACCCCTAATGCCTTTCCACCAATGTGATTGACACATATTCCTGAGTGGGCTTCTTCCATAATGCTTTCTTGCTCCCATTCTGGGATGTACCTCAGCAGTGGCTTTGAGAAGCCTTTCTTGTTGAGCTCTCCATTCATCACCACATACCTATTGGCGTCTTTCTTCACTTTCTTCGCCTGTACTTCATCGTCGGGCAGCGAGCCATGAACTTTGTATGCCAGAATGTCTGCGAACCAGGCTCTCTATTGCCCAATGCAGTTTACCTGCTCCTTTTCAGCAATACTGCTTTCCTCCAAGACTTCAACCATCACTGTCCTTGTGAGGCTCTGTAGTGTGGAGCTGGCTAACTTTTATAAAGCGTTAGCTTGGGAGCTCTAGGGACCAAGTCTATCTGAAAGTGAACTAGCTGGGCTGCCAACTCTTTTACTTTGGTAACATATTTCAGCGTGGCGGCTTCTCTAATATCATACGCTCCTTGCAGTGGACTTTGCTGGCTCCGGCCGCGATGCTCATGCGTAGGCCGGCCAGCGCTGCCTCGTACTCTGCCTCATTGTTCGATGCTTTGAACTTAAACTTTATGGCGTACTTAAATACATTTCCCTCTGGGGAAGTCATTATGACTCCTGCTCCGCTCCCCGTTTGGGCTGAGGATCCATCTACTTCTACCTTCCAGACCCCGATGTCATCCTCTTTCTCCTCATAGGAGACTTCCACGATGAAATCTACTAAGGCTTGTGCCCTCGGTTTGACCTCGAACTCGTACTCGGAAATTTCGATGGCCCACTTTAAGAGTCTGCCTGATGCATCCATTTTCTGTAACGCTTACTCCAGCGGGTGATTTGTGAGGATTTGTATTACGTGCGCGTCAAAGTACGGTTTCAGCTTCCTTGTTGTTTTTACTACTGCGAAGGCTAGCTTTGTACCTTTGCTTTGCCTCGGTCACAACATGGCTCACGAAGTATATTGGACTTTGCTGCTTTTGTCTCTCTACCAGCAGGACGACTGCGATTGTCTGAATTGATGCGGAGATGTACAGCAGCAAATTTTCTCTCAGCTCCGAGCAGATCATTGTTGGGAGCTTAGTCAGATGCTCCTTAATACCCTCAAAGGCTTCTTTTTCTGCAGCCCCCACTTAAATCCTCTATTTCCTTTCAGTAGCTGATAGAACGGCAAAGCCTTGTCTGCTCACTTGCTGATGAATCTGGTCAGCGCGGCCATTCTGCCTGTCAACCTCATGATATCTTTAATGCACTTAGGTTCCGGCAGGCTTAGGACTGCTTCAACCTTTTCCGAATTTGCGTCTATTCCTCTCTCGCTGATAAGGAAACCTAAGAACTTTCCTGAGCTCACTCCGAAGACACATTTCTTCGGGTTGAGTTTGATTTTGTATTTGTTCAAGGTAGCGAATGTTTCTTCCAGATCCATGATATGCCCTGCCTGCGTGACACTCTTGACAATTGAGTCGTCGACATATACTTCAACATTTCTACCCTTCTGGTGTATGAGCACTCTATCCATTGTCTTCTGAAAGGTTGCCCCAGCATTCTTCAGCCCGAAGGGCATAGCTATGTAATTGTACACTCCCCCTTCGGTGATGAATGCACTTTTCTGCCGGTCTGGTTCATGTAGGCTGATCTGGTGGTACCTTGAGAAGGCGTCCATAAAGCTTAGCAAAGCGTGCTCGCTGGTTGAGTCCACCAGCTGGTCAATCCGCGGCGGCGGGTAGCAGTCTTTTGGGCATGCCTTGTTGAGATCTGTGAAATCAACACACATTCTCCACTGTCCATTTGCTTTTTTCACCATAACAACGTTGGCTAACCACTCTGGGTAATCGCAAGGCTCGATGAATCCTGCCTTCAAGAGTTTCTCTACTTCCTCTTGGATTGCTAGGTTTTTCTCCGTGGAGAAGCTTCGTTTCTTCTGCCTAACTGGCTTTATATCCTCCTTCACATTCAGCCTGTTGATCATGACTGTAGGGTCAATTCCTGGCATCTCATCTGCGGAGAATGCGGAAATGTCTTTGTTCCTTCTCAGCAGCTCTATGAGGTGTACACCTACTCCAGGATCAATATCTTTCCCGATCTTCACCGTTCTTGAGGGGTCACCCTCTGTGAGCTCAACTGTGACATGCTCCCCACTGGGAAGTGGTCTGGCTATTTCTTCCTTTGCAGGCTCAAAGTTTTCCATTGCTAACTTCTTCTTGTCCTTCTCCCTGTGATACTCTTTGCGCTTCCTTTTTCTTGACTTCCTCTCAGCCTGCTCAGCGGGCTTCCGCTCTGTGGTTGGTTGCTGCCTGGTCTTTGCAGGCTTCTTTAGAGCAGTTATATAACATTGTTGAGCATTCTTCTGGCTTCCCCTAAGCTTTGCTGACTGCCCGTCATTAGTTGTGTAGGCCATGGCAAGGTGATAGGTGAATACCACTCCGCCTATCTTGTAAATGAGCGGTCTGCCCATGATCACATTATAGGGCGAAGGAGAGTTTATCACAAGGAATTCCGCTCGAACATCACGCCTTTTTTACCTTTCCCCTACTCATACTGAGAGCTCGATTATACCTTCGGGAGTCAACCCTGATCCATTAAACCCGGTGACTTCGTAACTCACCCTTTTCAGATCCTTCTTGTTCAACTTCAGCTCGTTGAACGCGCTGATGTATATGGATGTTGGCTGAGCTGCCTCCATCTATCAGTATCCTGTCCACCTCCTAGTTTGCAATTCTCATAGTCACTACCAGTGGATCATCATGAGGGTAAATTATGCCTTCCTGGTCATATTCGTCAAACGTGGCACGCGGCTGCGGGGGAAGATTTGGCCATCTACGCTTCTCAATGTAGTTTATCTGGTGTATCATCGC